AAGCAACAGGAGTCTAATGTAGTCCAAAAGCTTAAGTCACTAAAACCAAACCAGTTTTTGACGAAACTATATAATATATTTCAAAGGCTTTTGCTGATTTTTATAAGACATTATATACAAATTGTAGTACAAGCTCTTTAATTCAAATGGCCAGTGGCTGGCATCAAGTATCTAGGGATTCAGATTACTGCCTCACTAGATAAACTATACCAGGCCAATTACGAGAAATTGTTCAAAACAATAAAAGATTACCTAGATAGGTGGCACACACTACCCCTTTCCATTCTGGGGAGAGTAGAGACTGTACGTATGAATATGCTACCCAGACTGTTATACCCCTTCCAAATGCTTCTTGACCAAATATCTAATGGTACACTTTACATGTTAGATCACCATACCTCTGGATTTGTCTGGCAGGGGAAGCGACCAAGAGTCAGGTGTAAAACACTACAGCTTCCAAAAGAGGAAGGGGGGTTAGCTCTTCCTAACTTACAAATGTACTTTTGGGCTGCCCAGTTGAAGCCACTCACTGTATGGTTCAATAATGATGTAGACAGTTGGTGGTTGAACATGGAGAAATCAGCTTGCCAGCATGAATTAGCAGAAATGCCTTTCTTAGGGTTTTCTCAGAGAGATTGCAAAATGAATAAATGGACAAAACTCACATTACAAATTTGGAAAGAAGTACAAAAGACTTATGATTTACCTCGCCATATTTCAGCCCTTACTCCCATTGGATCCATGAGGGACTTTATCCCCTCATTGGATAACCCAAGATTTGGGTTGATTTATGTACATCAGCTTTTTGATCAAATAGGTCAAACTATGAAGTCTTTTGAACAAATAAGAAAAGAGTTTAATCTTCCACAGACAGATTTCTATAGATATTTACAAGTTAGACATTTTCTACACAAAACAAGATTTTAACATTCAACCTCCCATATGGATAAGACTCCCACTATATTTTATATCCAAATGGGAAAATGAGCTTCAATTACCAGAACCATTTCCCACTGAGACCTGGAATAAGATCTGTTCAGGATCTCACATGGTCACTAGATCAAACACTTGGAGAGAATTCAGACGGAAACTGATTGTACACTTCTTCAGAACAACTCATATAACGTGAATTTGATAACATCTGGTGCTTGGTGGAGGGCATGCGGAGAGATGTTGGCTAACTATGTTCATATATTCTGGGCATATCAAAAGCTTAAGACTTATTGGGGCAACATATATACCCCATGGTAGCACTACTTGGGTCTAATACCAGACGTATGGAAAGGTCGGGCTCATACTTACCATCTCCAGATTCTACTAACTGCAGCTATCAAATGTATCACTATTTGCTGGCTGGATCCATACCACCCTACTCATGCAGTCTAGTTACTAAAACCTCAAACACAGATACAGCAGCTGCAGCTCCAGAGCCTGAAACAAAAATCAAACATCAGAAAGGGGCTTTTTTTTTCAATTTTGCTTGCTTCAATTTTCATGTTTTGTTTGATATTTAGTCTGGTTTTAAAGTCTCTCTCCTCTTATCTGTATGCCAGTGCAGTGTTATTATTACGTTTAATGTGAGCAGAGCCGCAACACAACACTAATGGCCACAAAATACTTTGTAACGTTATTTATTAATTTGGGGAAAATTCGCTCAGTATGATTTCATATTCATGTCAGTATTTGTTATGGATGGTTCACCAGCCAACGTTGATATGGCATGTTTTAATTGTGTGAAAGCAATGACATAATTAGTAGTGCAGAGAAATTGACCTGAGTAGTGTCTCAAAGTGTTTTTTCATGTGGCAGATGAGCTCACTATATAGTCCTCTACACAGAACCATGTAAAAACTTAACTTGCTACTTTTGATCAGAAGCACTTAGAAACACACCTTTAAGCCAGAAACATGTAGTTTTGGATATATTTGAAGGACAATACAGTTTCATATGGTTTCCCTCAGTGGCTGGTCTAAAAACAGCAGTCCTTTTTATCCTCTGTAATGCCTTTTGATACCATGTAAAATCTTAAGTTGCCACTTTTGAACAGAAGCACTTAGAAACAAATTTCTAAAACAGAAACATTAAGTTTTGGATCTTTTTGAAGGGCATAACAGTTTATGTGGTTTCCATGAGTGGCTGGTCTAAAAATAGCATAATGTCAGTTTTGGCCTTATTAGGCTCTGTAATGCAGTTTGAGACCATGTAAAAACTTAAGTTGCTACTTTTGCTCAGAAACATGTAGTTTGGGGTCTATGTGAAGGACAGCATAGTTTTATATGGTTTCCTTCAGTGGCTGTCATGGCAAGGTGCCCACTCCAATATAATTAGATTTTGTTGTTTCAGTTTTCTATGAAAGCCGAAGGCCATGCTTCCAATTATTTTTCAATGCTGTTATCTCGAAATCACGGTTAATTATTTTGTCATCTCAAGAAAACAAGCCTTTTTATCCCATGATAAGAAGATAATCAACCAATTTTCACAAGAAAACAAAAGGTTGTTTTATTTCATTTTCTCAAGATAATGAGATGATGCCGAAAGGTCGCTTCCTCTCGTTAGGCTTCTTATAATGTTCATCAGGAATCAGGAGTGCCATGAAAGCATATGCAAAGACGGCATCTTGATAAATTTAAGCCAAAAATGTCAGACCAAGGAGTACCCATTGTTAATATTACTGATTGCATCAGATGTTAATGGTAATGAAATAATAATGCTCTGTGTGCAGGTACAGAAAAGGCATAACACAGTGTGCGCTAAAGGCTCTGTATCTGAAATTTTTGCCTGTTCTAAAACAAGTGTTTGCACCACAGAAACAGCTAGCACAACAACACCTCAATCAACAGTAAATGCAGGATGTGGAGAGCATGGAGTAACATCCTACTATCTGTTTTTTTGCATGGCTGCATGCAAAAAAAGCTGCCAGTTTGGGGGTGTAGCTGCATAAGCCACCATATGTTATTAATTATTATTAACTATGTTGCAGAAGAAATGAAGAAAATTGTACCTTTACCAATAATTGTAAATAGGCGATCAAACATATGGAACAGAACTCATTATTTTACATGTTCACAGAATCCAGTTTGTCAGTGTTCGTTTATGTACTAAAAGTGCAATAGGAGTGAATGGAGAGAGAAAAAGAGGTATAACAAGGCTGCTCACAGGAACAAGAGACCAACTTCTAATTTAACATCATTCTATCAGGATGGCAGAGGGTGGAGTTTGACCCTGAAGCTACTATACTCTGTTATTTTTGTTGTTTTTGTTTACATTTTTCTGCTTTAAAAAGCACCCTTTAAAAAATTAAGAGAGAAAAATGGGATGGTGTTCTTCTGCCATCTGATCCAATCAGCTTGAGCACACTTTGGCAATCTCCAAGAATCTTAAAGCCAGTTTTCTGCAACATTCATGTATATTAAGTGCCTGTGTGGCGTCCATTTTGAACAACGATTGCCATGGGCCTCAGGGGCAAAATCTGCAGCACCCTGTATGTATATCTTTTCATAACTTACAAATCTACGTAGGGATGCATGGTATTGGATTTTTTGCCAATATTTGATATGCCGATATGTAACATCTAGGGCTGTAGTCTCCTGGGGCCGGTTGCACCAACTGGTCTTAAGCTAAGTCGGTTGTAACTTGGCGTTCTAAGCCCGACCTTATAGTTACGCCGGTTGCACCATCAGGGCGTAAGCCTTCTTCTCACTAAGACCGGGCGTAAATCTTATGCCTAGTCAAGAGCAGGCGTAAGGTCATTATCAAGCTGCTCTCATGCACTCTAGAGCGCAGAGAGCGCAACTTGGTTATGGCACTTCTCATCCACCGTCTGTATAAGAGTGGGCATTTAGACGGGAGAGGGTAATTAGAGACAGAAGCAACTGGACATAGCCTATATAATGACGAGGAGCTGATTGAGAGGTTTCAATTTGGTAGGAGAGATCTGTTTGAACTTATTGAAGAGCTGTCACCGGATTTACAGTTTGTGTTGGGCTGTAACACAGCACTACCACCAGCCTTCCCACCAGGCAGGGGAATCCTCCCCAAATACGTCAACAATGATGTCACTGTAAATTGAGGTTTTCGGGGAGGACCCCTGCCAGTTGGATGATTTTTTTTGGAGGAGATGTATTTTTGCCTTGCTCAGGAGATCTTTCCACTTCTTCCTCATGTCAGCCTCTGTATGAAGGCAGCCAGAGTCTGAACACGCATTGATGTGCCCCTTTATCTCTGCCCATACTGACTGTTTTTTCTTATTTGTGATACGTCTTTGTGCTCGCTGTACAGCTTGATTAATTTTCTAATTTCAGTGTCTTTAAAGTTTTTCGTTGATCCTTCATGTTTTCTTCAAATCTTAAACTGTAAATAAACTGTCAACACAGATAAGAGGGGCTGTCAACTGTCAATTGTCATCTGTCAAGCACACGGGGTGATTCAGCGGTGCGTCTTTTAACGTCACCGTGCTCCTCTAGGCAGGCCGCGAGGGGCATTCCGGGGGCATTCACATGGACGCGCACAGCTAAAACCAGCGTAGCTAAGACCAGGCGTAAACCCTGTTGGTGCAACCGGCGTAAGTCCACTCCTTAAGACTGGTCTTAACAAAGACCGTCTTAGGAGTTACGACCAGGCGTAGTAAAGACCAGTTGGTGCAACCGGCCCCTGGTCGACTAGTCGATTATTTGGTCGCTATGCTCTCGTCCGTAGCTAAGGTAATACAGCAGGATGACCAATACTTAGTTGGGGATTCAGTTCCCAGGTTTAAGTGTCCTTGAGGAAGACACTAAACCCTAAATTTCTCCCAATAAGTGTGTTGTTATCATGTAACAGCATTTTTAGGCAGTTAAGTATTATAGAGGTTGTGATCTAATTTTACTGAATATTGGCATTGGTTTGTAAATGTTGTGAGCAGTAGTAAAAAAATGTGCTTTATGACATTAACATCAAGGAAAAGTATTTTAGGCAACTTTCCACTGTCTGACTTGTTATACTATGTCCTGTATGTTCTGCAGCTGCTGTGGGGCTGGTGTGGCTGCGGACGCAGAGATAACCACACAGATCATGGCGTCCAACGTCGAACTGCACATGCTCAACACTGGGCGACCCCCTCTTGTTGCCATGGTAACCAGACAGCTGAAACAGATGCTGTTCAGGTGATGGTAACAGAGATTTAAAGGATACAACACACAAATGACTGATGGTCAGATGTTATGTTTGGGCTTTTTTTTTTTAAATGAACAGCACACGTTCAGGCAGACTTGCCCTATATTCCTCCCATTGATAGAGAGCAGGCAGCATGTTGTAGTGATGTCTGTTTGCTTTTTCAGATACCAGGGTCATGTCGGTTCTTCTCTGATCGTTGGGGGAGTCGACGTGACTGGAGCTCACCTGTTCAGTGTATACCCGCATGGCTCCTATGACAAACTGCCTTTCCTTACCATGGGTACATGTTTAATGTACTGTATACTTCTTTGTGTGGTGAACAGACTGGGAAGTTGTCTGTGAGGATTGTTATTTTGACCATAAAAATACAGCAGAATAAAGAAAGTTTCACTTTTCAGGACAGGGCCAGGCTTTAAAACCAGGCTAATTATCAGACAAAACATGAAAATTGAAGCAAGCAAAATTGAAAAAAAGCCTCTTTCTAATGTCTGATTTTGGTTTCAGGCTCTGGAGCTGCAGCTGCTGTATCTGTGTTTGAGGACAGATTCAAACCAAACATGGAGGTGAGACTGACTGTCTGCTTTCCTTTCCTGGCAAATGTAATGTCTGTTATACTAAAAAGTGGAGTTTATATTGAAAGCATGTTGTGCACCACAAATTACATCATAATGGAGATGTATGGGAAAATGTTTATTGTGTAAATATCTACCAAGTGGGAAACAAACACAAGACAGAACCTTAAAAACGCAAAAGGAAAAGGTGAATCAGCTGAGTATGTAAGTCAAATCAACAACCACTAAATACAAGAACACAGAACAAAATGTTACACTGGGAAACTGAATTAGCTTTTTTATTCAGTGACATAGAAATCTATTTTTACAAAAGGGATTTTTTTTGCCATCAGACATACAGTAATGTAACAGTAATGTAAACATACAAACTGTTTTTTACTCATAATAACATTACGTACATAAAATGAAACGGTGTTGATCAGTATCAGTATAAGTATACACTATATTTTAAAGATTTTTATGGCTATACCTTGCCTCCAGACAGCCCTTTCAGATGGGGAACTGAAGCCATTATCTTAAATCCACCAGGCACCATTGACAAAAATAGTCATTTTACTTTGCAAAACACTGTAGTTGCTGGTATACTGCTGCCTCCATCATTTTCCAAATATAGTATACACTTAAACTGATATGGATTTTTTGGTGGCTAAAATCCATGCTACTGTGGCCCCATCCATAATAGTACATTATTTAGATTTTAAAAAAAACACCAATATTATTATCCCCCATTAAAGGTTTTTTTGGGGGGAGTTTTTCCTTATCCCTTGCAAGGAAGAGGGATGTTGTGTGCTGTAAAGCCCTGTGAGGCAAATTGTGATTTGTGATATTGGGCTTTGTAAATAAAACTGAAAAATGAAATTGATAAAATTGTATTACTTCAATATAAAGAAGTAAGTATAGCAGAAACATCAGACAGGTCAGACCACTATATTAAACTACAAATCTTTAAACCTCACAGTTATGACTAAAAATGTCAACAGAAGTTTCAAACGGGGAAGCTCACTTTAAGTTTACATCATAAAATTTGTCATATTGTAGCGAGGCAGTAACTTATAAAAGGAACATTTAATTGAAGCCATTTTTCAACCACACTCATGCCATAGAACCACAGTAAAACATACCTCAAAGATTTTCAGATGGGTTTGAACACTTGAACTGTACTGTACATACGGTGAAAATGAGCTATATTGCTTATGGAAATAAGGAACTCTGGATGGCACTCTGTCAGAAGACTTCACTCACAAATATCCGGATGGGACTGAGCTCGAAATGTGTAGCGCTGTCAATCACAAAGGGGTTCAGCCTTTTAGACAATTCCTCCAATCATCATGCAGACACCGAGCATCCTCTCCCACCTACCGCTCCATTAGGTCCCAGGGAAGCTGAGCCTCCCTGGAAGTGACGATTTTGTCGCATTTATCCAATGACTGTCCTGCTTTACTGCACGAAAAAACTGCTCAGTGCTGTCTCATAGGAATGCTTGGAGGCTCCGCGTCCACCCTGCTGACACAAGAATGTATGACAAGGAGGTCGCGTTTGAAAACTGGTGATAAACAGCTGATGGTTGAACATCATAGTCATGTTAAACACATCCTAGCGCACGTTTAATGCAATGTAAATTCTTATTTTAATGTAAATTCAATAGTGCATATTTGACCATTTCTTCTATGAAATTTTAGGGGAAGTTCAGCCTCCTTTGTTGTCTCAGAGCACTCGCCCCTAGTAGAGATGAAGAGACAGGAATCCTAAGTCAGTAAGCCCCCAAATTAGATGTACAGTGTCTGCTGCTGCTATCACTGACAAAATAGTTTGGTCAAGTTCTCAATTTTATAGACTTTCCCAGTTTAATGTGACTGATGAATGATGGGAAAAGGCATTAATCAGAGTGAATTCCACATCTGCTTGTGAACACCTGACTTTAATTAAATTCAAGGTCCTGCATTGGATTCATTTTAGGAAAGCCAGGCTAAGCATCTTTTTTCCAGGCGCTAATAATATATACTGAACAAAAATATAAACACAACACTTTTGTTTTGCTCCCGTTTTTCATGAGCTGAACTCAAAGATCTAAAACATTTTCTATATACACAAAAGACCATTTCCCCTCAAATATTGTTCACAAATCTGTCTAAATCTGTGTTAGTGAGCACTTCTCCTTTGCCGAGATAATCCATCTCACCTCACAGGTGTGGCATATCAAGATGCTGATTAGACAGCATGATTATTGCACAGGTGTGCCTTAGGCTGGCCACAATAAAAGGCCACTCTGAAATGTGCAGTTTTGCTTTATTGGGGGGTCTGGGGGGGTCAGAAAACCAGTCAGTATCTGGTGTGACCACCATTTGCCTCACGCAGTGCAACACATCTCCTTCGCATAGAGTTGATCAGGTTGTTGATTGTGGCCTGTGGAATGTTGGTCCACTCCTCTTCAATGGCTGTGTGAAGTTGCTGGATATTGGCAGGAACTG